AGCCTGAAATCATGGCATGTGCCCTGACTGAGAATGGAACCTCAACTTTTTGGTTCATACATAAATTGACACTCGTGTGTCAATCTTATCCTGAGCCACACCAGCTGTGTTGATATTTACTTAAATAGTCCTCCATTGTCTGTTAGGTGTGTGACCTTCACCATCAATGTACAATCTCTTGAGTCTCAGTTTCCTCTCATGCAGCACCTCCTCAAGAACCCAACTCCTTAGAGTATAATAGTTGTGGGGTCTGTGCCACAGTGTCATGGCGGAAGCCATCCTGGTTTATTTCCACACTTGACAAAGTCTGTGAGGTGAACCATGAGTGGTGTTGTTCAGAACTCCTCAAGAATTGTATGATTACTATACTCATGTACAGTTAGAAGGAAGTGTGTTGAGGAGGCCTAGCTGGTCACATCCCTGGAGTTGAAGGAACTAGTCAAGTGTCTCAGATCTGCACTTCTGAGGAAGAACTGGCCAAGCTGAGGAAGAGTGTAGTGGCCTACGGCAAGGAACAGCAGGATTGAAGGAGAGTATGGAGTCAAGAAAGGGCCAGCTTGGACCTCCTCAGGGGCACCTGCATGGTTCATAGCATGAAATCAGTTGAATGCTAATAGATGAAAAGGAAAGGGATAGTAAGGAAAGAGCTGAAAACTCATAATAATTAATGAAATTGGTACAGTGACTGATCATCAGAGAGAGACAAAATAAAAAATAGCGAGGTCTCATCTCACCTGTCAGAATGGCTATCACCAACAAATGAACAAATGATACTTGGTGAGGATGTGGGGAAAAGGGAACCCTGGTTCACTGCTAGTGAGAATGCAGACTGGTGAAGCCATTATGGAAATCAGTGTGGAGTTTCCTCAAATGATTAAAAATGGAACTGCCTTTATTCTAGTGATTCCACACCCAGAAGATATCTTAAGAATCCCTGAAACAGAAGTCAGAAAGAACATACACACACTTATATTCAAAGAAGCCCAATTCACAATAACTAAGATCTAGAAACAGCTCAAGTACTCATCAGTAGATGAGTGGGTAAAAAGGCTCGTACATTTTACATGATGAAATGCTATGCAGCTATAGAAAAGAAGGATTTCGTACCCTTTGAGACAACTTTGTGGGTTTTGGAGAGTATAATACTAAGTGAGACACAGGAGGAGAATCCAAGATGGCTGCACAGGTAAACACCTAGCCGTAGCTGCACACAACAATTTCAATAAAATACAACTAAAATATAAAATGGACATTACCCAGAACTACAGGAAAGTCGACTGACTGGAAATTCTACAACAAGAAGCAAGGAGAAAACCAGAAGGAAGAGCAGAGAAGCTGTAAAAGCCTAAGGTACAGAGATATGCGGCGCGCGAGGAGAGGACGGAGCCAGAGAGGAGGGGCTGCTGAGTGCCTGGCTGGCGTTCCCTAGTGGAAAGGAGATAAAAGCTCTGACTGTGCTGAACCCTAGACCCGACAGCTCTGAACCCCAGTTCTAGGTCAGACCCTGGGGACCCAGGCTCATCCATAGGGAGCTGGGCTGTAAGGCCAGAACCCCGGAGGAGTGGCGAAAGGAGGTCCCAGAGGCGCACACATTGCGCACAGAGAAGGGACGGTTGGCTGTGCCATGGGATTGCCCTGGCGGGAAGGAGACAAAAGCTCTGGACTGCTCTGAACGCCACCTCCAACTCCACTTCCAACTGAACTGAACCCTAGTTCCAGGCTCAATGGGGGAGAGCCTAGACTGTTTGGTAGCAGGTGAAAATCGAGGGCTCCTTTCTCTCAGAGGTGCTTGCAATGAGTACTGAAGGACCCTAGGGATTACTGAGACTCAGGAGCCGCATAGGGTGGGGCTGACGGAAGCCAAGGATGTAGGCTCCACCCTGAAACCCCACCCCATCAGGGAAGCTGCGAAAATGCCAAGACAAGGAAATAGATCACAAATGAAAGAAATGGAGGACAAAAAGCGACTGGATATAGAGTTCAAGTCTACACTTATAAGGTTTTTCAAGAATTTCCTAGAAAAGTTTGATAAAACCTATGAGGATATGAAAAGGGACCAACTAGAATTAATAAGGAATCAACAAGAAATAATAAGGGATCAACAAGAAATAAAGAATACATTGTCTGAAATAAAAAATATTATACGGAGACCTAAAAACAGAATAGAAGATCACAAGAATCAAGTCAAAGATTTGGAACATAAAGAGCCAGAAGACACTCCTCTGCAGAAGCTAGAAGGCAAGAGAATCCAGAAAATTGAAGGTAATGTAAGAACCCTCTGGGACAACTTCAAGCAAACCAACATCAGAATTATGGGGGTCCCAGAAGATGAGAGAGAGCAAGATATGGAAAACATACTGAAAGAAATAGTGACAGAAAACTTCCCCCACCTGGTGAAAGAATTAGACTTACAAGTCCAGGAAGTGCACAGAACTCCAAACAAAAGGAATCCAAAGAGGACCACACCAAGACAAATCATAATTAAAATTCCAAGAGCAAAAGACAAAGAGAGAATATTAAAAGCAGCAAGAGAAAAGCAGGTAGTTACCTATAAAGGAGCACCTATACTATTGTTAGCTGATTTCTCAACAGAAACCATGCAGGCCAGACGGGAATGGCAAGAAATATTCAAGATGATGAATAGTAAGAACCTAGAGCCAAAAATAATCTACCCAGCAAAGCTATCACTCAGAATCGAAGGCCAGATAAAGAGCTTCACTAATAAATAATAATAATAAAAAAAAGCTAAAGGAGTTCATCACCACCAAACCAGAATTATATGAATTGCTGAAGGGGGTTCTTTTGGAAGAGAAAGTAAATAAAGATAAAAATTATGAACAACAAATACGTAACTATCAGCAAGTGAATCTAAAAACCAAGGAAATTAAAAAGAAAACTGATGAACAATATTAACTCTTGAATATAATAGAATCAGAGGTATGGAAGGGGAGTGAACTGACAATTCTTGGGGAAAAGGGGAGAAGGTGATATGAGAAGAGACTGAACATAAATTGTGCACCTATGGATGAGGACAATGGGGGTTGAGGAAAGGGCAGAGAGTGAGTGGGAACCTGGTGGAGGAGAGCAATGGAGGGGAGGGGGAAAGAGGAACATTTGTAATAATATGAACAATAAAAATTTATTTAAAAAAATACTAAGTGAAATAAGCCAGTTATAGAAAGGTAAGTATGACATGATCTCACTTGTATGTGGATTCTAAGGAACAATATAAACTGAAGAATAAAACAGATCTAGAGACATAGAAGCATGGGACAGACTGCGGAATCTCCCTGTGAAGGAGGAGGTGGCTGGGTTTGTGAGGAGAAATTAACTAGAATAAAGGATTTATATGCATATGCACAGCTCAGGGACACAGACATTAGTATGAGGAGCACTGGTTCATAAGAATGGACTGGTGATGCAGTTGCCAATAAAAAGTTTGTCCTGAATTCAATAGTGAGGAAGACCTATCTGTGGAGAGCAGCTACAGCTTTTGAACAGGTTCAAGCCTGGGACTAATGAGAGGGCATTATTCTCTCCTTGCAAAGGCACGTGCCAGTACCAGCACAATTATAGCCAAAGGTTATAGTTTTAACCTTGACCTTATGGTCTGAACCTGTGGGCCCACATGGCTGAGTGATATGGGCTGCGGGAGGTGCAGCAAGTAAACAAAGCTTGATCAGGTGCATGTAATTGAGTAGATTCCAAACTCATGAGAACACTGTAAACATCTTGACCAAGCCCTTACTCTGTCTGGTGGAATCTGGATATAAAATAAAGACTTGGCCTGCAGGCGTTGGTGCTGTCTCTCCATCAGAGAGAGCAGCATCCCACCTAGCTCCAGCTTTATTCCCTTGTCTCTTTTCACCATCCTTCACCACCCCCTCTCAGGTTCACCCATGGCCATGCTGGCTCAGCACACCCATCAACTATAGCATCAAGGTCACTGGCAGATCCAAGTGCTGATACAGATTAGGATTTTTTTTCCAGTTAGATTTTTTTTTTTTTTTTTTTTGGCAGTGATCCTTTCAAGGCCTATTCTTTTGGGGAAATCTATGCAAAGGTGGACCTTTAAAAGATTCATTTCCATGTACATTGGACAATTTTCTCAAGTAATCTTCTCCTGACCCTGTGGCCACATTTGCTGCAGAGCCTTTCATGCAGCTGGCATCAGCAGTGACCCTTGGGAAGAAACACTAAGGCACAGTGATCCTGTCACTCCAGGTGGATGGTTGTTATTATAGCTGGTGATTGGCACACAGACCCATTTACTATATTAACAATGGTGGGAACTATTCTTATTGGGAATGCATGTGTGACCTCCAAACTGATTGATGTAAGTGTATAAAACAAACAAATCTGAATCAATTTAAAACAGGTCTGGAAATTTTTTAAGAGCTACTTAAAACAAACCTTATATATTACTTAAATAAAATGATGCAAACAATTCAAAATTACTTATTTATTATCAAAATATTATGACTTCTGCTCAAGATAGTCAGGAAAGTAAAGGATGTACTCAAATCCTCCCATGATCACTGCAAAATCACAATAAACTACAGAACAATCAGCATTCAGAACCAACTGAAATCTAGGTCAACAGAAGTTCTCAAGTAACGATACAAAGAAAAAGTCCCATGGAGATGGTAGGAGGGGTGGAAATGTGCAATGGGCTGGACCACGTGGAGCAGGTATCAGGGTTTTATTATTTTATTTTACTTTATTCTTTTTGGTTTAAAAACAATCCCAGGGTTATGAAGATACCACAATTTCTTGGGATGGATGTGACTCAGCATGAAGGGATGCATAGATGTGAATCCAAACCAGCCATATGAGATGGACCCTCATGTCAGAGGTATAGAATGAAAGGGCAATGGAAGAGAGTCAAAGAGCACAGGAGCAAGAGACAGAACCCCATGTGGATGGAAGAGGCATCTTCTACCGGGACATGGCCCAAGTTTTCCTGCACCCAAACCAAACCTACCAAGTCCTATTGACTGGTCATTCTCAGCAGACAGTTTCCCCAATTATGGTTTACATTGTTTTTAAGCACCTCCTGAGCTCATCAGATAGGCTCCAAGGATGCCCCATTCTGAATAGTGTGTTGTTGCCTCTGTGTTCACATCTTGGCTGCATCATGGGTCCTTCTGGTGTCATTTCGAGCCTGAAATAGCAGCACCCCAAGGACCACCAGGACCAAACCAGCCACGCCTATCCGGATGAGATTCTCCACTGTGTAGTCTTGGGGTTTGGAGGCTGGAAAATATGGATACGAAGGCCACAAAGGTTAGGGTAGAACCAAATCTCCAGGGTTCTGGTGTCTACCGTGGTTCCCATCTCCCCTTGACATCAGTGTCCCTGTGATGTCTGAACTCAGCACCTGCTCTGAGTCACCTTTATCAGACTTAGCTGTGCCCAAGTACTGAGGGAAATGGTCCCAATTCAGAAACTAACTCAGAGCTGTGTGTTCTGTGTTCAGCCTGAGACTCAAGATCCCATGAATTTATTCCCTTAAATCTGAAAGATCCCCTATTCTCAACAGCTTGGGGCCCAGGGTCCTTGGAGGAGGGGTGGTGTCAGGGGCTCCTGAATCCTAGGAGCACGAAGGGGTGAAAATCTGGCTGTGTCTCTTTTATCCCACCACACCCAGGTCCCTCCTCTCTGGGGTCCACATTTTCATCCTCACTTGAAATTGTTTATCTGTTAATTATTCTATAACTCCTTTAGTTATTACATATATTTTTACTGATTTCAGAGAGGAAGGGAGAGGAAGAGATATAGAAACATCAATGATGAGAGAGAATCATTGATTGCCTGTCTCCTGCATGCCTCCAACTGGGGAAAGAGGCTGCAACATGGGCATGTGCCCCTGACCAAAATCAACTCTGGGGCCCTTTAGTCCATATGCCTCACTCTATCCACTGAGTCAAACCAACTAAGATTTAACTCATTTATTCTACAATTTTACAAATGAATACCCACAGTGGTATTCATATTTATCAAATGGGAAATGTAGGCATATGAATGCTAATGGTGAGAGTTTTTACTTTATCTCAAAGTACAACAAAGTCATAACCAAGGACATCCACACTTCTGGCTAAAACTTTAAGTCACAGAGAAAACCCTCTAAATTTCATTATTGAGTGAGCACAAAAAAGCATAAAACCATGTCAATGTTTTACCCTACCTATAATAATAAAAGAGTACTATGCTAATTACACTGGACATCATCCTGAACATCCTGCTGGAGGAAGCCAGGCCCGGAGTAAAGTCTGGGTCCCAGGTGCCTGTAGGTGGCCAGAGGGAAGTCAGACTGAGTCCTGGGAACTAGAGAGAAGCTGGTGCCAGCACCCAGGGAAAGAAAGTTCTACTTTTGCACGAATTCCATGCATTAGGCCTCTAGTTTTGCTATAAAACCCAAGATATAAATAAAATTATTGACCTCTCCTCATATAGCGATCCATGCAATAATGCTAAAGGTCAGCTCCATGATTCAGAAAATGCACATGGAAGATCTGCATCATTCAGTTGGGTTAATATCCAAATGGGTGACACCAAGAAATCTTTGTAATGTGTATCATGTGGTTAAAGGTCAGAGAAAAGATAATTATAGGGGGATGTGTATCACTCAGAAAAAGACAGCATTCCTAGTAAACCTTCTTGAAAAAGAAGAATAGATTGGAAGAAAGTGGCCATAGTGCTTTCAATATTAAACGCAAATTTGTAAATTCATAAGGTGTGAGGGGAGGCTGTGGCCCATTTTGGTCCCTCATTCCATCCTATTGGATGTGGAGTGAGAAAAATAAGTATGTCATCAGGAATAAAGAAGTGGCAGTCCCTTTGACTGCTGGGGATTATAATTTTATATCAGAGAGATCATCTGAAAAACAGTCCACAGGAAGGGTATCTTCAGGAAGCTAACAGGTCATGATATAAATATGTCCAAACAAGAGCTTTCCTATGTGCACTTACTACCATTTAGAAAATGTACAGGAATCAAACTGCTTACTCACAAATTACTATATTAGGTGTGCAATTCTCTGAATGCGAGCTGTGCATTTACTCAATTTTACAAATAGCTGTCAAAATGCTTCTGAAATTCCTTCATAAATCTCATTTGGAAATGTGCCTGATAAGACTTCATAGAAACAAGAAATTATTCTCCATAACAATGACTGAATTTACTCTCATAGAAAATATGAATAAAATGTTTACATTTAAATATGGACTATTTAATGTAAGTTAAATTGTGAGCTTATAGATTGAAGTATGGCCTGAAGGTTCTCTAAAAGGAGCCATAATAGACCCGTGTGCACAGAAACCCTGAGTAGAGGTGAAGGCACAGAGTCTGGGCAGGAGGCCCCAGGTCCCATGAGCCCTTCAGGGTCCCTCCTTAGCCTCAGGCGAGCACTGGGGGGCTGTGCAGGGTGATGCAGATGGGCAGGATACTTCTTTCAATAGTGAAGAGTCCAGTGGGGCTGGGACTACAGGGACCCAGATTCTGAGATGAAGACATTAGGAGGTGAGTTGTGGTTTGGTCTGTGTTCTCTGCTCAGTCTATTCACATTCCTGCTCATTTCACTCACATCTCACTCGCCTGCCCTACCCTTCATCTCTGCTGAGGTTCAGAAATGAGTTCAGGAGTGGGAGTGCCTGTCTGCCTCTACTCTCTCATGAGCTGGACTCTGCTCTGTGGAACCTCCTCCCCCTCCTTGTTTATTACTGTCACCCACATTCCTAGGGACAGGGCCCTGAGCTGAGGAGCAAAGAAAGCACGGCGCCAGGGCTGCTCACCTGAGACCAGCAACTCCAGGGGGTCACTGGGGTGTGACCACACCTGGGACCTGTTGCTGTAAGAGCCATAGCATCTGAATATCCACCTGTATCTCGCGGTCAAGGTTCCCACAGGGAACAGGGCCTGGGAGTGCCCACTGGGCTGTGGCTGTGAGTCCAGGGTCCAGGAGAGCCTGTGATCTCCTTCCTCAGTCAGAAGGAACCTGTCATATCCCTGCCCTGAGTCACACAGGAGGGTCACACTCCCTCCTGAGGTCACAACAGGACTGGGCAAAGTTGAGAGGTTGGGTTTCCTGTAGAATCCTAGGAGAGGAGGATGCAGCTTGTTAAATGGGCTCACACCTCCATCATGTCCCTCAGGGCTGGGCTGTGAGAGGGAGACACCCTGAGAGCAGACCCCCTTCCTGAGGGCAGAGCCTGAGGCTGGGACCACTAAGGGCTTCTCACCTGTCACTACCAGCTCCAGGGGGTCACTGTGCTCCGACCAGCCAGCAGGGCTGTGATAGTAACAGCGATATCTCCCTGCATCACTCCCTCTCATGTGTGAGATGGAGAACTGGATCTTGTCCCCAGGTTTCAGTGGCTTCTGTATTTTCCATGGTGCTGGGCTTCCCTCTTTATCCAGACGGTACTCCTCAGCCCCTGGGTTCCCCTCACAACAGAGGGTCATGGGGCTCCCCCAGGGGATCACAGGGCCTGGCTCAGCCCAGAGACTGGGTTTGGTGAGGGGCCCTGGAAGCAATCAGGCTGGATCAAAGGACATTCCCACAACCTGGTCCCCAGCTCCCAGTCCCAAAAGCCCCCCCCCCCCATCTGTGAAACAGATCCTGCCCCTGCTGTCTGGAGGGTAGTCTTTGTCCCCAGGGAGAATTGGGACCTGGGACACCTGGGGAGACTCACCTGCCTGCACTGGGGTCCTGAGGCCCACACTCAGCCCTGGAAGAGAGTCCTTATGAGAGATTTGTCCTGAACACTGAGCAGCACCCTCCTCCCCATGAGCCCCAAGTCCTGGGGTCCTGATAGAGCAAGGCTCCCCTCCCCTCTCCCATCTCACCGAGGCAGAGCAGGGCCCTGAGGATGCGGGTCATGGTATCTTCTCCCAGAGGCATCAGCTGAGAAGATGGAGGAGGCCACTGGGCCAGCAGGATGGACACCAAGGCACACCGGTGATGGTCACTGGCTATTAATATTTGCTACATTAGCAGCCAGCAGGCAAGGACACAGCCTCTCCAGCAGCCTGGGTCTCATTTTCATGGTGAAGCAGGAAATAAACCCAGAGCCTCTGGACATGCCCCTTGCTGGTGATGTGACCCAGATCACATCCTTTTCTGTCAGAGCCTCCCCCATGGAGCCTCCTTCCTCTTCAGCCCCTCTATCAGCACCTCCCTGTGGTCCTCACCATGGACAGTGCCGCATGGGCCTTGGAGACACTTCAGGAAGACATGGGTCCCTGTGGCCTGCAGAGCTCAGATCAGCAGGGACACACTCACCCTTTCCTTGTGCAGCTCAGGGGTATGTCCCTGTGACAGTGAGCACAGAGGGAAATGCAGGGCAATGAGGGAAGGAAGCCCTGTGGCCCCAGAATCTGGGTTTTCTTTCTTTCAAATGTTTCTTCATGAACTTCCCTTTTTTCAGCCACAGCCTTCAGCCCCTCCTTCCTGGGGACACGCCTCAGGGTCACTTCCCCCTGAGGGCCCCTCATTCCTCAGGCAGAGCTGTCCCCCTGGGGCCATGGCTTGTCCTAGACAATAAAGGATAGTAATTTGATCTAGATTTTGATTTGTTGAGGAAACTCCCCCCCACCCCCATTTTTTTATACATGTGTCCAACCTGCTTTCTCTGTGAACTGAGCAGTAATTTCTCGATCAGGTTACAAGAGAACACAACCTCTGTAATTTACTTACTCTTCAATGACTTTAACTCCTGGAGGGTCACGTCATTACAGAGATTCAGGGCCCTATGGTCTTAGCTTGATGGTTGCTCTGGAATTTGGTAGGAACCATCCACTGTCCCCATGAGCACAAGTTTCCTCTCCCCAAGTGACTGGGTTTGTGGAGTTTGCCATCAGGAGTCATTGTGCTCCTCTTTGCTTTGTACAGGAAGCACATCTCTTTCCCAGACAGAGTTCAGTTTCACCTGGCGCACACACACCTTCAGTTTTAAGGACAGCTGTGAGCTCCCTCTGCCCCCAAAACCCGCTTGCAACCAGCAGAGCTGGTATGAACCACAGCTCCCACACATATCTGTGCGCATAGCAGTCCTGCTCCCAGCGGGCCCCAAGTCTGGTGGTGGAAGCACCACTCACATACTTTTCTTTATCCTTCCCCCTCTTCCCCAACAAGTTTGAAAATATTTATACATATTTTTATTGATTTCAGAGAGGAAAAGAGAGGGATAGAGAAATGTCAATGATGAGAGAAAATGACTAATAGGCTGTCTCGTACAAGCCCCACACTGGGGAT